TCTGTTAGCGAATTTAGATAGAACGTATCCATGCCCCTTTACATTTCAACCCATTTCGTTTGATCCAACCTGCTGGAGCCTATTATTCCCGGCAAAGGTGTTTCGTTACCGATCTTGGCCTTAAATTTACCTATTACGAGCAGAATGCCATATTGCAGAAGGTCGCATATAAAGAACTGAAGCTTAGACTGAATATATCAGTCCTTTTATTCCCTGAGAGCTCGTGATGCATGTACATGAATGAGCTTAATGCTTACCGATAGGACTTTGATACGAGATCATATAGTCACCGGCGAAGTCCAATCCAAAATTCATCTGAACACGTCATTCCTTCAAACCGGTGTCCTACGTTTATGAATAAGCGACTGTCCGCCTATGAACTGTAGAGAGAATGTCGTTTCCAGTCAGCAGAATTTTACAGAAGCCGCAAGTGTAACTGCGTACTACAGACCGAGTATCCCTAATCCGAAATGCTTGGGACCAAGATTGTTTCGCATTTTGGATTTTTTTTCAGACGTTTGGAATACGTAATATGGTTAAATTAAAGAAAATTAAGAAAATTCAGAAAATCGATGAAGAAACTCATAACGGGTCACACGATTCCGAATTGTCACATTTAACTCATTTTCTCACCCAAATTCTTCACTAACACAAAATAACGAATCTGCTTTCTTTGACTAAAAATACTTATGGCTCAAAACAGTTCCTATCCCAAAGGGCTGTCTGTGGTGAGAGTGAAGTTAGGAATGTTTTGGAAAGCGGCCTAATAGCTCCTTATGAATTACAAAAAAGAAACTTACTTAGTTATTCCATAGAAAGAAACAACCTTCGCTGTGGCATCATCAGGTACAGAAAGACGATTTCATGCAGCTTAAATGGATTGGAGGGGACGGGTTGAGGAAGGGGAAGGAAGAGGGGGTTGAAGTTAGGAGTTAATGGACTGTTTCCATGATAAAACGCAAGAATGAAAATAGGGTGTGTTTGACGTGTTCTACCTTCTGACCCTGCAGACAAAATCAGTAGTGTCCAAGTGTGCTCACGAATGGGACGTAGAGAACTTCCGACAACGTTTGACCATACGGCAGAGGCTGTTTCCTGATTGGCAGGGTATCAGAAGATCGGTTGAAAGAAAGAGAGACGAAAAGGGTGCTACGGTCGCTGTTGATATTATCCAAAGATATTTCAAAGCAAATTGGGACTAATAAGCAAAATATTACAATGTTATATCCTATGTGGGAATTTAGCAGTTTCTTAAGGAGTTATCTGTTGTGAGAATGGCATGGTCGATAGCTAATAGATCACCACTATTAGAAGAAATCGCCAGCAGCAAACAAATCTCAACGTAGAATAAAAGATATAGCATATAGTGAATATATGAGTTATTGCACTGATACCATTACGCATTCAATGGTATCAATCGTTCTGCAACAGCTGATGATTACAATGTTGTTTCGCTTAACAGAGCTGACTTAAAAAAATATTGGGAACGATTTGGAACATGATTACAATTCTTTCATTAGTCAACCGCTTCAAGGCTTACGGCTAACCTTCATGAGTTAACTTGAAGAGCTTGCAGTCTTTGCTGGTCTATTTTTGTTCTAGTAGCTATACTGAATACAAAATAAAATCACACCTATTTAACAAAAGGCAAAATATAAGTTTCAGGATGAAAAACGGCTTATGAAAATATAGTACATATCCAACAGTTAGCTGATACACAACAAAGTACGATGAAGAAGTTCATGTAACAAAGACATAAACGTCCGCAACGCTTATCACTGCGGAATAAATTACACATGACACTGAACAACGATGCGATGGCTATAACTGCCATTCGGTTGATAATTCGGCAACCGACGCAATGGACTGTTTCCCAGAAATTATTCATGGCATAATTGGTAGTCGGCTGTAACTGTTGTTGGCAGTTGTGCACTACAGAGTAAGGCTCATGTTGCTCAGAAAAACTTCTACGATACACAACATTCAGCTGCAGAAAAAGCCAAATCTACCCTAACAAAGTCTGGGTTATGTACACATTGAAACATCGATTGCCGTATCATAGTGTGATGCTCAATTCAAATGTACCTCGAAGAAGAACAACCATTTACCTTCTGGACATCAGCATAAAAGCGCCACAAATATTTCTGTTTTCATTTTCTGCACTGAACAGAACTGAAATCGCTTCTTATATCCTAGCTTAGACCTCCTTGGCAATATTTAACTATTATTGTCATATGCTTATCTATAAGAGCAGGTGAGTGAAACTAATCCCACCATGCACATAGGTATGTAAAGCTGATATCCAAATTATGTCATGCATATTGTGTGAATAATAGTCATGATCACAGTATTCTTTAATATCATCTTCGTCCAAATTACAAAATTGATCTCCAATCTCAACATAACATAATCAGTATATATTTATCTTAAAACACGAATCTACTTTCATATCTACGCCGTTACCTAAGTAAGGCCGAGGTCGGATTCCAAGTCATCTGTAAGATAGGAATCACTCTGTATGGTGAACAGATGACCAGCACACAAACTGGATTGTGAAGGTTTTCAAAAGCTCTGTCAAGAGACCAGTCTAAAAGAATATATGGCAACTTTCGAGTACGGGCACATAAACCAATATGCTATTGTAGAAAGTGTACTATTGACAGACTACTCCGTGATAACAAGGACATGAAGATCTTATACCGTGGCAACACCACTGCCGATTTTATGATACGCAAATCCGTCCCCAATTAAAGCACTTGCTGCAGCCTGTGTAAACGAGAAATTCAACTTCACACATACCCCACTCTTGGAATCTCGTAAGAGATAACTTAATTTTTACTATCTAATCACGTTTAGTCTTTTTTCATCTTCATCTAATCTCCTTTCACTATTTCCATCTTTCATGACCATTATCTTCTTTCACCCATTTTCACTGCTTATGGCGTACTTCGTAGTTAAAATGACTTAATCATTTACCTGCTGATCCTGGTCATTCGTGAAAGTTGCTGTTGTCATCGTCATCAGGGTCAACGACAGAGTACCCATATTAATGTCTGACGATTTGACTTATAAGAATGATTTATCAGTGAATATGATATATCCTCTATTAATTTATGTTGCTCCATTTAATGAACATATATTTCTCCAAGCTTTAAACCGTCTTTTTATCTGTTATATTCAATATTGTAAGCAGATTGAATATAGGAAAGTTGGTCATCGTTGGAATACCGGTCTTGTTTCACTTTAATTCCTTGGCAATTTTGGTGCCCTTTTTTCATTAAGTCAGTGGTGCGGTGCTGATCTCCGTTTTTATGCCATCAGTTCGGAATGCCGTATTTTTGAAGGCAGTTTCTACACGCTATGTGGCAAGTGTAGCATGTATCGCCTGTTTATTTCCCACAGAGTGGTTCTCATTTATCAACTTCGGAAGGAAAAAGGGTGAGTAACCTCGACGGATGCTGGAACTCAGGAACTATCGGTTCTGAGTTCTACACCGACTCAGCAACCCCGGTCTGAAGCAGTATTGCAAATTCCTTGCTGAAAAGAATTCGTGAATAAGACAACGACTGCCCTCAAGCAAAACGAACGAAAAACTCGGCACTTCTTGAGTGCTAAGCCCATTCCTTAGATAACTCTACCATTATGTGACAAATTCAGTATGAGTATATTAAATTTAACTAATTATTGAATAATTCGTTTGATTAGTTGCAATCGAATTTCCGAAGCTAAAATTCAGTCATGAGCAAAAAGTACCTGTAAAAGTAAAACGAATATGGCAACGTTTCCAAAACAACACGCCTAATGTACTCGTAATCTTCCTCTCGCCAGATCTCCTGCAAAGAAACGAGGTCGTAATCTTCGTGCAACAACGCATCGGCAATCGCTTCAATTCTCAGCTTGCGATGCTTGCTACCGAAAGGATAAACCAACGGTAGAGCCCTAAATAGGAGGTCACAAAACGAATATGTAATAATTAATGAACAAAGTCAATATACCATGAATTTAAGGTAAGGACCTTCAGAGTCACAGCCATAGAAACTGGTAAATTCGCATTGACAGATCACAGAGAAAACAACGGAATGGAGATGCAAAACATTACGTGTCCATGGTATAACCGTTTTATCAGCTCATGCCGATGTCAGACTCTAAGACAGCAAACAAAGTCTGTAAAATTATAAGCAGATATAAAATCAAAGTGACATGTCGTTTCACAAAACGAAAAACAATATACATATTGACGACTAACGTAAGCCTGCGACTCATGAATAAGTAGTGGAAACTTTAAACTAGCAATTGCGATCCTGCCGAATGAATCGCGACGTAAGATGCAGAGAGCCTTACAAGCTAACCACTGTCAGATCGTCTACAAAATACAAACAGGCTGCGTGGATGCCTTAGAATATTTCACAAATGTAGTTGCCGTAGGTTTTCACACAAGCGGTTGCGTAACCCTCTGCCAATTTCTGGACAAAGCAATACATTTAAAGCCCTTATCAATTCTTTCTTCTCTCTGTATTTATCCAAATATCATGCGCTGGTTAGCCAACTACCGCTCTAATTGCACTAAGTTCGTTCGGGTCAACGAACCCAAATCTTCTAGTCGACCAAACAACTTAGAAATTCTGCAGCGGACGGTTTTATCTCCGCCTCTATTCAAAATATATATTATAGCATGCAAAGACAACCTTCCCCATAAATGCATAAAATATGCCGATGATACCTTGGTAGCGTGTGAAAATATTTCAGCAGATGATCTTGCAAAACATTCTCGCTAAGTCACTTGTACTCAGGACTGGCCAGAGGAAAATGTCTCATTAACATAACAAAACCAAACAATATTTATTCTGCCTCAACAAGCACTTATGTAATAGATTAAACAATTGCCTTGTCACCTCTATTTCACTGCAGATCTAAACGATAACAAGCTTCTCAGCACATTCTCAATCGATATCACTCTACACAAAGTCTACACTTCAATGCGCCTGCAGAAAAGGTAGCAATAAAAGTTCGACGGTGCAGCAATTTTTTAGAAACTTTATTACAACCCTCCCCACGTAAATACACAACTGTTTCTTAGAATTTGCATACTTCAAATTAAGTATGTTTCGCCAATATACATATCTTACTTTTGTAAAGTGGACCTATTCAAATTTCGATCGCTTTTGAATACTGTTGGCATCCCGCATCCCTTGTACCAGACACTTTCAAAATGCACTTTGAAGCCTCATTCCGAAACGCACCAATGTCAGTGTTTTTAGGAGAACTGAAGTATACATAAAATTTGTCACCTCGCAGATGACTCATATTTTGCAAAATTAGGAAAGTGAAAAGGCGGAATCTGTTCGAATCGATCCTCTCATGTCAACCATCAACTTCTTGATTTACTGGATATCATAAAAGGGCTGGACATGCCCGCACTTCTTGTCTCTATTTGCCATTCTATTCTGTCGTGTGTAATGTCTGATTTGATCGCAAGCCAATTCCAGTGCTAGTTTTGGTATGCAGTTTGTCGACAGGTGGGCCGAACTTCGTTGTAGTGAATTCGTCTCTGATGCTATCCAATCATGAAGTTTTCGACCTGCCTCTCAGGTGCATTTTCTAGGATAGCTTTGGCACACCGCGAATCATGATGTTGATCAGCCGCTAGTTATTTCGTCATAACGTATGGCCGAAGAGCGAGTTATAGTTTTATAATTTCATCAGAGGGAAAGTTGATTCTAGTCACTGTTCCATATACTCCATTTGTGACTGTTCCAACGTTCTCAAGCAATTGGGTATTCGTGATCATATCAATTAGTCAAAAGCCCAGTATTTGCTAACAACAGCACTCAAGCAGCTTAGCGCATTAGTTTCCTTCTTGAAAAGGCATATATCACTAGAGAGATAATAGTTGCCTGATATAGTCAGAACTAAGACCTTTCACTGATAGACTGACTGCAGTTTTTAAACAGATTGTGTTTCAGAATGCTATGCAAGATTAGTGCTTCCTGATTCTTTCCTGAAAATCAGCCTCACAGCGCCCGTCACCAGTGATCATCAATCCAAGATAGCAGAACTTGGTGGCGCATCGTATATCTTCCCCGTAAATTTTCAGTGATGACATTTTTGGGGCATATCATGAAACAAGAACTTTAAATTTCGAAAGTTTCAGTCTCAATCCATACTTGGCACCATCAGTTTCCATTGCTGTAAACACTTTCTGAAATTCTTCCTGGTTCATTGTAATGACCGCAACGTCTTCAGCATAATCCACATCTAACCGGCGTTCTGATGGCTATCAGAGCTTGTAACTGTCTCTTTCCTCGTGATATCCATGCAGCAGCTGACAACAGCTGAATAACATAGGTCTGTGTGGTCGAATTCTGCTGACGATAATTCTTTCAGTGATCTTCAGCGCCTCGTAGAGGAGACTGATTCCTTTGCAATTTCGGACATTTGGCACAGCGCTTTTTAGTATATCTCATTAATCACAGCTTGGCGCCATTCTTCCGATATTATGTGTGTTCGCCAGATCTCTTGAATGATGTTCGATAGTACGTGCAATCCAGTCTTACGCATGAGTCAACAGTTCCACGTGAACTTTTTCTGTGCCAGCTGCTTTTCCATTTGGCATTTTTTAAAAGCATACATGACCTCTTCGCGAGAAGGTACATCAATACAGCAGTCATAATCACACGTCTCATTTTTACAGTAGGAAAGCGTTAAATCAACTGAGGGGGACGATTCATCAACTACTGGAAATGAACCGGA